TGGACAAGTTTTGGTGTTTTGGGCATGACTCCCAAACTGCAAACGCATGTTTTTAAATGGAGAGCATTCGGTTTAGAGAGGGTGGGGCAAAAGTACGTTTACAGTGGTGAGTACCCAAAACATAAGAGTTTATTCTTATATTATTATTTGTTAATTCTTATTTTCCACACAAATAACTGTAAACCTACTTTTACCCAACCCTGTATATTTTGAAGAATTAGTCATTTTAAGCCATTTGGAATTTTTGAATTTATAACAAAAAAACCCCACATAGATATAAGTGGAAAAACAAACTAGAAAAGAGGCCTCCCATGCAATGCCAGTAGATGCACTGTTGAGAAGGAAGAATATGGATGATTTTATTCTCTTTCTTTTGGCTGTTTTACATTTTCCAATAAATATATTTGCAAAATTGGAAAATTATCAATAGAAAGCATTTATTAAAAATACATTACTGAAAAATAGAAATATTTCTACTTCAAAGATGTATGACACAATGTCAGACGAAACAACTCTGCCAAGTTTCCAACAGGATATCAGGCTGGAGGAGTTTTCAAGCAAATGCTTTGATAACAACTGCCTAGTCTGCTCACATGTTCCTGGAGAGAGTCTAAAAGGGAAGCGCTGGAAAAACTCTTCTACAGTTCTGTTTAGGGGCCTCAGCTCTACACCACTAACAAAAGAGGTTCATTTGTTTTGTTTCCCCTACATTAAGCAGTGGTTAGTGATTCTATCAGAATATATTTCAAAGATTTTGCATCCAGGTGTCTCATTTTGGGTTTATTGGATGCTGGTGACACCTGAGGCTACAGAGAGCTCCTTGGTGCGGTATTTTCCCTTTTATTTAAGAAGACTTCCATTTATAATAGAGATTGAACTACTTGCAGTTCTCCTTGCAGTAGTAAGGAAAATGTTCCTCAGAGTTTTTACCATGCGATGGGGTAGCCATTGATCTCATGAAAGGTAAGACTGGTTTGTTTAACTCTTTGTATCATTGTTTCACTTTCCATCAGAAAATTCCCCCCGATTCTAGTATAGACTCAAGTTGTTGTAGGTTCAAGGAGGACCTGCAATATTTCTATTAGTAAAATCTTTAGTTCATTTTCCTTATGACTTTTCTAAATGATTACTTTCTTTCTTCCATTTGAAATTGTTGGGTAATATAGGTTGATTCCGGCCATCGGCAACAGATGGCAGATGGGTGGAAAAGCCAGGGTAGATATTCAAGGTAGGCGCATGACATTAGGATCTCTGCAGGGAGTTAGTTCTGAGTCTATTCCAAATGAACAGGCAGATCATAGGGAATTAATATTCTCAAAAAGAAGTTACCACTGTCCCTCAGTGGATTTTTTTTTCTTTAGAAAAGCTCTTGGTTTTCATGAGGTATCTTTGCAACTTAATGAAAGAACTCTGCCTTCAGGTCACGGTCTTACTCAGTGAGAATTGTGGCTGAATCTGAAGTTCCTGCTGAAATCAGAAATGATCAAAGCAAGAAAACAAGTGGTAAATCACTGCCTCCAGGACTACTGAGATGTCTGATGTGACAGGTGAATGCATGGGTTACAAACAACCTGGTCTTTAAATAAAATATATGTGTGCTTAGGATTTGGGTTCTAGGAAAATCTTATGTTTATAGCACGAAAACCTCTGTAACATGCTGAATTTTATTTGTTTGGATGTTATTTGGTCCAAATATTCCAAGATCAAAATTCTTACAGCTTTCCTCTCATTTTTCATTCCATTTTGCAACTGTTTAATGAGCTTGGGATTCATGAAACAAAAATTTCTAGTGAGCACATTGTAATACTTTTCTGCATTTCAACAAATAACTCCCTCACATAGATTTTCTTTGCTTCTGATACATGCCAACTGAGGTTTGGTACATTTCTCAAGTTCATCTCATCTGCTATTCCTCTTTCTATTCTCCATACCCTTCACTTATCTTCTCCCAGAACCATTGACTTATATCTACACATTAGTGGTTCCTAGCCCTAGCTACACATTAGACTCAAGTGGGAAGCTTTTCCAACACACCTCCACTGGATTCCATCCCCAGGACTTGCCCTGGGTGGTATCATAGCATACATGAAATGCTTTTAAAGCCCCAAAGGTGATTCTATTGTGGGGCCAAGGTTGAAACATCCCTGCTGTCTCTATTGATCTGCTGTATTACCATTATTTGTAAAACTCTATTTCTCACGGGAATTTTCAGCACTTTAAATCAGAAACTATCCTGATTCACAGGTGAATTCCAGTGACCGCTGAACTTGATCTACAGAATGCATATATACTAAGCACCCTGTGGATCCTTTTCATTATCTGGTTAATGTATTCATCATATAATAGGTCACTGAGGGATCAGCACATAAACTACTGTGTTCACGTGACAATATTTCATGGGCTTAGTGGAGAAAAAATAAATGAAGGTGAAGAAATACAATGGCTGTGGTAGTTCCCCCCACCAAAAAAAATACTGGACTAGAAGACTTGACTATTTTTTGGGGGGGTGGGTATCAAAAAAAAAAAGGCAAAGAAAATTGTCTTCACTGAATATAATTTTCTGTACTACCACATATCAATGTGGAAATCTAACTTACTCATTTCATATCCCCACATTTACTTCCTCTTCATTATTGCTCCTGGCTAACAAATGCAATATTTGTGGCTGACAAAAACCTGCAGAAAAATAACTTGCACTGGGAGATATCTCTTTAGGCCTAACGCCGCCTCAGGACAGCTCCCTCCGGGGTGGGCGGGCTGATGCCACACTCATTTGCGCAGGGCCTCCGCGAGCCGCCTTCGTCCCACACCGCTGCCCTGTGAAGAGTACTTTTAAGGTCTACCCCAGGTTATTTGTTTTACTTTTTAAAAAAATGTCATTGTATTTATCAATAAAGCAATAGGATATATAATACATAAAAAACCTAAAGCGAGTCAATGTTTATAAGTATTGGACACATTTCTCTCTCATTTTAAATTTAATGTGACAGCTGTGTGTGTGTTTGTATGTATGTGAACACGCCAGTAAGAAGTGAAGAATATTGAAGAATTCACACATTCATGAAAATATTTAAAACAAAATATATTATTCAGAGTCTAACCACACAACTCAGTATATGTCTTTGCCAGTAGCATACAGTGATATTCAATGAAATTATATGGTGAGGTTCCATGTTTCACATACTGACACTCTATATGTTCAAGTCAACCTGTGGACAGTTTTGAGTCCTCTAATTATGATATGCACTTTAAAATTGGATTGAGAAAAACAAATAAATTATTTTCGAAGTAGAGATGCCCAGTTCCATACAAGATGGAGTAAATACAATCTATTTTATTCCTCCTGCCAATCACAAAAAATACGCAAGTCAAAACATCGAAGTCATTTACCAGAAAACTCTAAGAGCAAAGGAGGATTGGCTGGGAGCCTCAGGATCGAGGGAATGACATGAGATAAGACTATAGGTTTACTTTTTCATTTTTATTTTGTCTACTATACATCCCAAGGGTATTAGAGAAGTTCCCAGTGCAACACAATACCACCTAAAAATAGAACCCAAGAAAAACCAAAGGACAAGTAAAAGGGTGGCTCAAGACAAAGGACACTTTTAACCATATCTGTCTATTCTAGGGGGTGAATATCACAAAAATAGCAGTGTCTCTCCCCCTCCATTTGAAGGATGGTAGAGCAGGGGGTCAATGACAATCGTCATTCTCAGTGGAAACCATGGGCAGAAACCATATTCCACTCCTATTCCTATTTTACTAAAGAGATGGCATCCCTTTCCCCATGGGGCCTGTGACTGACCTGACTTCCAACCCCCATGAATTAAAAACAAGGGGCTTCTCTTCCTGCCCCACCTGCAAACCCCTGGCTGGAACGCTGCCTCCCTCTCCCTGGTACAATAATAAGATGACAGAACTAGTTTCTGCAGCAGAAGGGACACCTGAAGGAGTTTCTTTGTGGTAATAGAACAGTTCTTTGTGATGATTGCTCTCATCCACACCTGTAATACAATTTCACTGAACTATGTACCTTCCTCACCAAAAACAAAAACAAAACCCTAAAGAAATATGAACACTGCATACCTAATAACAAATGTGTTATGTGATAAATGTGATAAAACTTAAGAAAAGAAGGTTCTGGTTTTGCCACTTCAGTAGATTTTCCAAATACTATCATTAAACCAAGTGTGATAACAGATACTATTTCCCCGTAACTTTCAAAATTCAGGTTCATAATCTAAGAGGAGTGACTACTTGAAAAAAGAAAAGGTTACCGTTCATATCTGGGTAATACTCTTTATGGTTTACATAAGTACAGTCATAGCTAGGGAACACAATAAGATAAACTTCATAAACTACTGATGCAATGTTTTAAAGTAGCCAAAGAAACAAAAATCGACAGTGTATATTATAAACACCAGTAATAATACTTTGGGTTTTGTGCCATGTCTTTTCCCTAAGGAATTGAATATTTTCTCTTTTAATCTCATTATTTAACTGATAGTGTTCTCTACTGATGTCTCTTTTTTCAAATGGCACAATTAAATGACAGGGCAGTTTATGTGTTTTCCCTCAGACCACAATGGAAATCACCAGACGTGTAGGAGTCAGAAGTTAGGACCCATGCTCTGCATTTAGCATCTGGCTTTACAGTTGCATTAGACTACATTTTCAGCTAAATCTCTACCTGAACATCATTCCATTGAATGAGCCATAGTTGATCCTAGAATACTATTTTTAGTTGCTTCGTTTACAGAAAAACTTTCTGCCAGCAGAGCACTACTCAATAAGCCACACATTCAGGCATTTCATTTATTCTAATTTAATTTCTGCTCCAGCAGTTTTGTTCTGGAAATCCAACAACTTTAAGTTACTAAATAGGTTGAGATATAAGAACTGTTCATTGTGATGGACCAAGCTTCTTTATTCTACACATGTGTATAAACTTCCCCAAAGGGAGGGTAACATCATTAATGCATCTTGTCATTACTTACTTTCTTCTCTCCGTTTCAAATCTGTGGAGTAGTTTCCGAAGACCACCATTCTTAAATCCCTGAAAATGGGCAGCGGGGGCTCCCACCGTGATAACATCGTAGAGAGCATCTGGAACAGGAACGGACAAGAAGGTGGACACTTTGCAAACATTTCCTTCCGGCATGCTGTTTGCATGGGAACATACTGTCAGAAGTTTGAGGCGTTATTCTGTTTAATTTTGCAGGAATAACTAAGAATTCGCATCGCAAAGGGGCAAGAGGAGCTAATCCATCTTTCTAAAAGGCACCTGTGCACCTAAACAAGTTACAATATTTCCTTGATTTATGACTACATCTTAATTATATGCTCCTGTGTAGAACAGTATGTTCCCTCATTCTTCTGTATACTTACTGAGATAACATGCTAATTGGCCTTTTGTGTATTTTACTTTATTGAGTTTTGCATCATTTAACTTGCAATCATATTGAAATTCAACAATAATGAATCTCTCAACTGAAATTTACAGAGAAAAGAAGCATTTTGGTTCAAGGCCAGAACAGTACTAGTGCATTTTTAAAAAATCTATATAGAGTGGTTTCTGCCTGTGTATACTAAATCTTATTCAATTTTAATGCATGCTTTTGCAATTTCCTTAGGTGACATAGAAAGAATACACAAAATGTCTCTTGATCTATTTTCCAGCAAGATACTTTGTTTTTTTAACAAAATATCCATACATTTAAATTGAACCTCAATCCTTTGATCTTGAAAGCCATCAAGTTTCATGCATATTAAGTTTTAGGCTTCAAAACATGCCATCACTTTTACATTCTAATGAAAAGTATCCCCATAAGAAGGAAGACAAGAGTGAATGCCCTCTTGTTAAACTGCATTTTATTGAGAAACCTAATTTCATAGTAGATCCTTTTCAAATTGATTTTAGTATTGACACATTGGCTGTTTTTCAGATCTCATTTACAGGGAAAACATAAATTATTTTATTAGCTTCAGGTAAACACCATGACTTTTCCGTAGTGGTTCAACCTAAATGCACCTGTAATATTTTTCTTACTAAAAAATGTCTTCAAAACTCAAGGTCACCAAATAAATAAATAAATAAATAAATAAATAAACAGAATACAACCCAAATCAATTCATCAGTAAGGCAAATACTGAACAGTCACTTAATTCCTGGAGTGGTAATCTCTTACCCTTTTAAAGAGTCGCTAATAAAGTAAAAGTCAGGTTATCTTAAAATAACAGAATATTAGGCTTCTGTGAAATATAAATAATTTTTTGTCCAGGGAATTTTAACACAGGCCTAAGAAAAGGGTTTCAGGTATCCGAGAATATATACAAATTTTACAACTGCCTCCGTTTTACTTACTGGAAAGGGGAAAACTGAGCTCTCTCCGACGATCATGAGATCACCCCAAAGTTGCCAGCTCTGATTTGTAGTCTGCCTTTGTGTATCTGCCCAGAATCTGAGGGCCTTGAGAAGTCCTCTGCTTTGTCTAAAGTCCCCAAGACCTTGCACCCAAGGTCTTCAAACCTCTGCCTCAAGGATGGAGAGCCAGTGGTCTAAGTGGCTGACAGTTACCCTGGTCCATGGCTCTGGATCCCAGCTCTGCCACGTGGAGGTGGTGTGGCATTGGGACAACTATTTAACCTCACTAAGTCTGAGGTGCCTCAGCTAGAAAATGGAGTTGAAAGTAGTTAAAAGTGATAAGCATTCAGTAAATATTATCTATGATTATTGTTTCCATATGAATACCATCAATTAAGCAAAGAAAGGTGATATTTGAACGTCTGCTTATTTATTCATAACTTTTCAATCTGAAGAAGAAAGTGATGCTGAGACCCCATCCCCTGAACACACTCCGCTCCTATGCTAATGTAAACCAAACACAAAAAGGGAAGTCCTCATGACACCGCAATGAGACACGCTGAGTTCCTGCTAAAACCCGGCTGACCAGAAAGTCCAACTATACACAGAACTAACCAAAAACTGTATGTCTATGTCCCATTAAGCCCAAACAAAATGCATTCTTAACTCAATTATTTAAAAACAAACAAACAAACAAAAAAACCCTGTAGATTCACTGGATCCAAAACATTTGTTGTCTCTCCAACCTACCCAGCAAGAAGAGTAGAATGAACCTGAATAGAAAGAGATAATTCTTAATTGATGGAGGTTCAAATTTCTTACTTTTGCAAAATTTTCAAACATATTTGACCACGAACATGTTGCTAGGGCCCATTGAGAGGTCTTTTAAGAGGCCCATGCACATGAAGGGCCCTGAACTTAAGTTTTGTCAGCTTCCTGGTGACTCTGTGGAGTTTCTGTATTTTCCGAACCTGCTTTCTAGGAGAAACCTTCTTTTCATTCATCCACCTCACTGATCTCAGGGTTCTGGTCACCTAGGAAGGAACCAAGAAACTTCGAAGTGACAGGTAAAGGAAGGGAAGCAAGCTGCTCAAATACACTCCACTCACAATAAAGAGCTGTTTATTTCATTTTAAATCTAAACGAAGGAGTGAATGTTTCTTGAATCCATTTACAGTACCAAACTTCCAATGTTATAAACAAGCTCTTTCCTATTCTAAGTTTTGACTTTTACTTATTTCCATTTTATTTTCTATTTATGAACTCATCCCTTTTAGGATTTTAACACTATACTTTTTACTAGAGTCTATAAAATCTCCATTTCTGGCTAGCTCCGACCTCTTCACCATTAGATGACCCAATTCCTAACTGCTTTGTGAACATCTCTGAACGTCAGCCAGCTATTAAGTTTAACTTGTGCTAACTCTTTCAACCTGCCCTTCCTCCCTGGTTCCTGGGACCAGTACAGACACCAACCACATTCCTGTAAGCCTTCCAGACCAAAATTCAGCAAGATCTCAAGATCATTTAAAATTACTTTCTTTCCCTTAACATTTTATGTGATCAGTGCCAACAACTCTGCTCCCCAAACTGTGTTCTCATTTATCACTGTGAACTCTCTTTACTTTAATTCTAACCACCCTCATTTCGTGTCTGGCTCACTACTGCTTCTTCAGTCTTGGCCTCCCTGTACCCACAGTGCAGACGGCTTCTCCGATGTGGCTGGGCAGTCAGTCACTCTGCCCAAAACACAGGCTTCCATTCTCCTTGTATATTTCAGAGATTAGAAGGACAGTCGAATGTCTAAATGTCATGCATGTTGTAGGTATTCAGTAATTGTTAATAAATAAATAAATAAATATTTTGAGGCTGGATTCAGTTTGTCTAATTTGTCTTCAGATTATATAGGGAATTCCTATTCTTAGTTGAAGAATAAAAAGTTTAAGTTCACTATCCAGAAAAACAAAATTGGAATCTGGAATATACATATCTCCATGGGAATAAGGTAACCACATATCCCTCCATGAAACATATTCAGTAAAAGAACGAGGAGAGCTTATAGCTACCTACATGCAAAAGGTTGAAATTAGACCCTTCATGGACAAAAGTCAACTCAAAATGAATTAAAGCCTTCAACCTAAGCCCTAAGACTCCTAGAGATCTCAGGTCTTATCTCCTAGATTGGCCTAAGGTAAATGCTTAGGTAAATCTCCTAGAAAAAAACAGGGAAAATCTTTCAGAACATTGGTCTTAAAAGTGATTTCACAGATATCACACTAAAAGCACAAGTAACAATAACAACAACAACAAAAAGGCAAGTGGGACTACATCAAACTAAAAAGCTTCTGCTAAGCAAATGATAATGCAAAACACCAACATACAAAATAGGAGAAAATGTTTACAAACCCTACATCTGATAAATGGTTAACTTCCAAAATATGTACGGTACTCCTACATCTCAATACAAGACTCCAGGAAATCTTAATATTTTGCAATTGTTATTTGCTAATTACCAGTTATCAATATCACCGTATTGAAACAAGAATCTATTTGGGCCCCTTCATCCTTAAATTTCACTTGTTATTAATTACTACAAAAATAGTAGCTAGATCTATATGCACCATGGGACTTATTTCCAGTTTTCTTAGTTAATGAAGAATAATATGCAATTAAAATACCATATTTATTCTTGGCCAGAGCAGACATACTCATTTAAATTTAGTTAGCATTAACATCAATTGATTGTTTCCTTTAGGAGAGAGCAGGTATATCAAAAAATAATCAATAAAAACTAAAATTCTAAGGTAACAATCTGAGTAGTAATATTTGTCTCATTTAAAAACTTTCTCCATGTTACCCTTCTCTTTAAACCAGGTATCTTTGTGATATGAATAGCCCTGAACTGTGCATAATAAAAGCTTTCCAATTTTTGGTACTATGAGACAATTGTAAAAATCTAGGATTGGCATTTTATTTTACAGAAAACGTAAGCAAAAAAAATGTTAAAGGTCTTTTTTTCCTCTCATATAAAATATAACCTGTGTGTCTTCTTTCTTGGATATTTTATATCTCAAAAATTGTCCTTGGCTTTGTGAAAATGGCATAGTGTGCATTATAATAGGGAAGTGAAATTCAAGTTGAATTTCATCAAGCTAAAGATACTAAGTTGATTTGAAATTTAATAATAGGGCTGCCTCATAGCTTTTTAAAAGCCATTTAATAATAGAAATGAGATAATAAGTCTATTTTTCCCAGAAGATCTCTTTAAAATTCCTACAACTATAAAAAGAGTGCTAATAAAAAAAAAATGGTTTTTTTGCTGATCTCATTTCAAAGAACAATTTAAGCATAATCCCTGACTCCAAAATGGCTCACAAAATGACTCTGACATGAATCACAAGACCACAGGGATTTTTAAGGGAAATCTGTTTCAAAATAGTCCAAGAAATGTGGCACCATCATAAAACACGTCTAAAGGTAATTATGCTTCATTGATGAGCTGATAAACCCAAACTTGGAAATGTAGAAAGAAATCAGGGCGCTCCGGACAGCTCTTCTGGTTTGCTCTCCCATTCAGCGTAGAGAGTAGAAGTCTAAGAGGCAGAGGGGACCCCTGCTTCTTCCACAGTCCCACTGGCAGTTCCCGCGAGGTCGTGCCTGATTCCAACTACAGCTTTAGGATATCATGGAGTAGGTTCTGTCTTCTACTTCTTTCCCTCCCTTTACTTTTCTTTCTTTCATTTTTATTTCTTTGCTATGTACGACAGTATGCTACTATATATCTCTGATACATAATATAACTTAAACATATAATATTATAATATTACAAGAATCCACGTTTTATCCTATTCACAACTGCTTTTCCAAGGAAATAAAATTTACTGAGATATACTGGACAAAGAAATGCCGTTTTTAATTTCAGGGTTCTGTTTTTGTTACCGTTGTCACTGCTGTATAAGATCTCCATTGTGGTAGGTATTCTATTTGTTGCATTTAACTTAAGTAATGAATAAGGATGAAAAATTAACTTAATGGGTCTGGGGGCACCCAAAATTAAATGGAGGTTATTTCATTTGTCAGTATGAGACATAGCAACATTAGTTCTGCTCAGTTCCTTGTATTAAGAGCTAGACATTAGTCTCGTACTTGGTAAATCTGCCTGCTATTGTTTGTAAAGCTGCCTCTCCTACTATAGCAAGCATATTAATCAAAGGTGAGTAGATGCAATTTACTAATGGTAAGAATGAAAATAAATGTAGGCTATACCCAGATAACTCGCCAGTGAGATACCCAGGCTTGGCCAATCTTACTTGCATCATTACCTCATAAAATGTTGTCTGTAATTCAGCTAAACATTTAAATCACTAACTGTGGATCTTAAATAAACTTAACTGCAATGTAAAATCTGCTAAATGCATATTATATAAGCAGGGAGAAAACTTGATTGGCCACCACCTACAACTTTAAACTGCCTTATTTTGCAAATAAGTAAACCAAAGCTCAAAGTGGTTATTCACTTGGTGAAAGACAAAGAAGAGGTAAGGCCCTAAAAATTCGGTCATTTTTAATTTCTGTTCTAACACATAGTCAATTATTTAGTCTATAAAGCACCTACTTTATCTGAATTCCAACTTCAAATAACTTTTAGGATTACTATAAAACTATACAAATTTTTAAAACATAATTTAATGTTATTCATATTACATGTATACAATATACATACTAGTATACTGTAATTATATTATGCAATAGAATTCAGCACCTTCACATTAATTCTTGACTGTTAGGAGATCTCGTCTTTTCCCACATTTTCTCTTCAAAAGGGGGGACCAGTCTTTCTGAAAACTACATCAAAAATCCTCTAGTTTATGAGCTGTACCTTAGTTCTTGCCTTACTCCCTACTGCTTGATTTTTAATCACATATAAAAAATTCCTTCATATATCCTGTTATGTGTTAAATTGTGCCCCCAAAGAAAGGTGTCTTACAATCTGATCTTATTTGGAAGTAGGGTCCTGACAGGTGTAAGGAAGTTAAAATCAAGCTATTAGGGTGAGTCCTAATCCAATATAACTGGGGTCCTTTCAGGGGGAATTTGGACACAGAGACAGATAGACACACACAGACACAGATGATATAAGGACACACAGGGGGCCCTGGCTGGTGTGGCTCAGTGGATTGAATGCTGGCCTGCAAACCAATGGGTCACTGGTTCAATTCCCAGTCAGGGCACATGCCTGGGTTGCAGGCCACGCAAAATTCAACCAAATATTGATGTTTCTCTCCCTCTCTTCTCCTCTCTATAAATAAATAAATAAATAAATAAATAAATAAAATCTTTAAAAAAAAAGACACACAGGGGAATACCATGTGAAGACAGGAGATCAGTGTGGTGCATCAACAAATCAAAGAAAACCAAAGATTGCCAGCCAAAAAGAAAAAGGAAAGTAAATAAAAGAAAAAAAATAAAAAAGGAGCTAGGATGGGGCAAGAAAGATTTGCCTCATGTTCCAGAGGGAGCTTGGCTCTGCCGACACCTTGACTTCAGACCTCTGACTTCAAGGCTGTGAGACAACATGTTTCTGATGTTTCAGCCACCCAGTTGGGGGTGCTTTGTCATGACAGCCCTAGGAAACTGGTACCTATTCCAGACCAAACTGATTAGAAGAAATTTCATTTGCCTTTCTAAATTTTTCTTTAAGTTTCTAGTTTCCTTTCAAATTGGAAAAACAGAAACTAAAGGCATTAGGTTCATCCTAGCTCACTCTGGTCTATTTTCAGATAGTGTCTTGCAGAGGGAAAAAAAGAAAAACATAACGTAAAAGGTTCTGTCATTTTCAAGAAATAAATATGATAGAAAAGGCCTCTTGGATAATAGTTTCTCTTTGTTTGGTGGAAGTGTCTTAAGGATCATCACCAAATATTTGAATGCCTATTTAAGTATCAATTCCCATTGACTTGGCCCTGACAAACCACTTGCTTTGATGATACTTCTGTCTTCCATCCACGGCTGTAACCCCAGGCCACCCTTCCCTCCCATTTCATCATTCAATCAGTCAGTAAGTGTTTGCGTGTGATGATTTTTCCAAAATGCTCTGCCTCTATCAATCATCTTTCCTTTAAATCTGGCTGCTTCCTTCAATGTTATTACCTCTTAACTGACCACTTTAACAGCCAGGATAAAACTGACAGATCTATTTTCTTCCAGGGGGAATGACAGCCACGTGTGTCACGGAAACTCTGACTGTTCATTCTAGGTGTTTTACATACTCTATCTAGTTCACCGAATCCCAAAGAGTACAACACAGATTAGAAGGATTAACTAATAGGCTTAAGGTCCTATATAAACACTAGTGAAGCTGCAATTCTATTCCTTTTCACTCCAAAATATAAAAGTCTTTTACTATATCATAAAAGTCTCTTCCTATTGGCCATTAGAAAAAAGAATTATGTTGGTTATCAGATAGCTTTTAAGTACTTTAGCATCTTTATTATTTGTTGATACTCCGGTTTTGATGATTTTTTTTAAAACCATTATACATTATGTTCAAACCACTGATAGACATTCAGTAAGCAAAAGTTCCTATAAATGCCTCAGGCCAATCCATCTAATTTTTATTTCAGTTCTTTCATTTGACATAATCCCTGGTTAAAAGGCCCTAAGTCAAAATTTCAGATGGTAAGGGTTACCAAAGGTAATAAAATTATACATCAGAATGCTTACCAAAGGTAATAAAATTATACATCAGAATGCTCCTTATAACTATATTTAAACTGGCATATTAGCTGGCTGTGCATACATAATCAGTATTCCTAAATTTAGAAAAATGTTTAATTTTTCTGATCATAAAACTTCAGATGGTTCTAAAGCAGAAGAGAGATTTCATTTTAACACTTTAAGACTTTTAACCTATATATTGTGACAATGGCTACAAAACAGGGTGTGTTAGAATGCATCTTCAGATGGGACTGTGTATGGTTGTTCACATGTGCATTTACCACTCAAACAGAGAGACTTCCTGTGGGGGGAGGAGGGGGAGGAGCCAGAGGGCGTTCCTAAGGAGGATGCTGGGACAGCAGGCCTAGTATGGGACTTTGCTAATAAGTAGGGGCAGTCACACTAAATATGCATAAAGTTGATACAGCAATAAGTCTGAGGAAAAGTGAGGTGAGAAGAATATTAGGAAATATATATTATTGAGAAATACTAAGAAATCATGCAGAATGGCAATGAACACAATGCCTTATTGTTCCCTCTGGACTTTATTCAGGTATGTATATGAAAACCTATGCGTTTTTCCCTGGAAAATGTTTCTTGCAACTGAGTAGAGCAAAATACTCTCTGACCTTGTATCTGATAAACCACCTTCTTCTAGGGAAAGAGGTGATTCTGGGGAAAGTTCCACTGAGACAGAGAAACAGCTAGTGAGTTCAAACTTGGGCTTTGGTTTTTCAAGACAGGAACACAGTGAACAAGTCTTGTTTTTCTTTTTCTTTTTTTCTAATTCAAACAATAGCACAATTGCTAGCTATTAGCCATCACTGATACTACTTAAGGAAGCTAATATTCATTTTGCATATTCACCTGTAACTCAGTTCAGATGGTACACATACAAAGTATTGTTCAGAAACACAACAAAAATATAATAGCTGCTTTTGTAGTGTTCAGGGTTGTTATCCACTTCAACTGTTTCATTTTCATTTTTACATAAAAGCTTAAATTGCACATACTGCCAATAGTAGAGATTTTAAAGAAACACACTAACGTGATTTGCCCATTTTGAAAAGAATTCTATATACTACCTTTCAAGTGAGGGCTGTGTACGTGCATCCTCTGCAGATGTAGATTTATTGGAACAAATTCTAATGTTTTCTCTCCTTTGCTGCTGCTTGATTTGAAAGAGGACCCTAGGTGGAAAAAAGTAGAATATTATTAGTAAATAAATAATGAGTGTGTGTGTGCACACATAATGAAAAGTAAAATCAACATAGAAAACTGTTACAAAAGCTTCAGAAAGAAAAACATAGTTGTATAATTTGCTTTACTTCTCAGAAATTGAATTTCTTAAAAACTCTTACTTATGCTTATAGTAACACCATGAGGGCATTTTTCCTTTGTTATTTTTCATACAAAGATGACAGCGTTAGAAATAAATGATGCTTTAAAAAAAAATCTCAAACCTTCTATGTCCGTAACAGTATTTACTGTTGTTTTCACAGAACATATCCTCATACATGGAATGTAATCCAGGTTGGATATGTAAAGTTATTGCTTTCCCACCTGTTTCCTTGCTGAGTTCGGTCAGAATGTCTTGGTACATAGTCACCATTTGATCACAGTGAGTAAGGACATTTTTCCGTAGATTGTCCCAGTGTGGAGAAAGCTCACCAAGTTCTTTTAGTTCCTGGTTTCTGTTAAGAATGGAAAAGAGGATAAAATATTTATTTTACTCTTAAATCCGTAGGCACAAAGTGCTTAGTCAGGATTGTCAAACACATCAGAAATTTATTCACCGTCCCTTTTGGAAAAGCTCTATATGCTTTTTAGGGGGAAATAATCATTTTAACACAGAGAAAGATAGGAATAGTTTAGGCCACAGAAACATAAAAAGTTCTGTATGTAAAAGAGAAAAAATACAGGTTAAATTCACTGATAAAAATTTCACAAGGGTGGCAAAGACTCTCTTTAATGTACATAGAGGCCATTCAGTTAAAAAACAAACACTAAATCTCAACAGAAAACAACTAAGTTCTAGACTTCAACAATCCAAAATAAAATAATGGGGGAAGGATTACTGAACTATGTCTGAAGGAAACACAAGTTATTCAAATAATCCATATATAAGAGAAATGTAATTTTTTAAATCCTCAACAGAGGATATCTTTTTTATTGATTTTAGAGAGAAAGAATGGGAGAGACAGACAGACAGACAGACAGACAGAAACATCGATGTAAGAGAAAATATAGATTGTTTGCCTCCCATACGTGCCCTGACCAGGGATCAAATCTGCAACCTAGGCATGTGCCCTGCTGACCAGGAATCAAACCCGTAACTTTTTGGGGTACAGGATGACACTCCAACCAACTGAGCCACCTGGCCAGGGCTAGATGTAAATTTTTAAAAGCTCATAAATGGTATGGTCAGGTATGATTTTATTGGCCTCAGTTTCTCCCAAGAGGCCAATTTAAGTAAATACTGCATGTATTTTGTCCCTTCCTTATCAAAAGGAAAAGCTAATCACGTCATTTAGGTTCTAATTATTAACTTTTATCTAATTCTCTACCCTTTATCCAAGTTAATTTAAAGCATCAGAATGGCTTTTTAAATTATAATGATAAATGGTTTTAATATGCTGCTTTGTTAGATCTCTTATTCATTTCTGTAACCTTTTACCAACAACATTTTCATGAGGCTAATTTAACCAGCAATAATGAAACTTCTTTGCTATTTTGGCTTTGAAACATGTTAAATACCAAGGTAATAAATTCAGAAGATGTAGAATCTTTAATATCCTATTAAATGCAAGAGTAATGGATGGTGTACAAAATTGTGACTTGGTTTCAAATGTTTGTAGCTGCCTTTGTTTTGTTTTTGCGAGGTTGTTTTGCTGATCTGAGGTCTTCAAAATTTTTGTGAACAATAATTTCATTTTCAACTGTCCCATAGATTACCTGTCATCACACAACATTCATGGGAGAAGAAGCAATTAATCAACAGACAGTGATAGTAAATGTTCATGACCAAGGAGGGGGTAGGAGGGAAGGTTAAAGAACTGGGAAGGCACGTTCTCGGTTTGCACTCCAATGGCAGGCTATTTGAATTCAAGACAAAACGACAACCACCACCAACACAAACAAATAATTCCAAAAGCTTGAGATATCCAAGTCTAGAAGAGCTGGGGCAATCAGGTTAGACCTGAGGTGGATAGCAAATGTGACATGTCAATTTGATATGTCCTGTTTCAGGCTGTGGTTCTAACAGACACTTATGATAGAAACACCAGTTAGGTATTCCCACTTAATCCTAATAGATGCACCAATGGATGTTTAATACTAATAGGTTTATAGTTTATGTTGTCTCTGAATCCTTATCAGAAATAATAACTAAAAGGGAGGTGGTGAAAGAGTAACGAGAGGGTGATAGTGAAGACCCTTCCTACAGTGTGGCACCTGGTATGCTGACAACTCCTCGCTGCTTTAGAGAAGCCTGGCAAAGTGTGGTCAGACAAGTTTAGTGATCTGTGGGGAATGACTTGCAATATACCGGGATTGGTCTGTAAACTTTCATTTAAAATTTATCACACTCTTCCAATATGTCAAAATTGATACACAGGAATACATAGACAAATCTGGCCCTCACTGTTTAGTTGTTCTAGAAAACAGCATTGAAAAGGTACACATTCCGAAAAAGGCAAATAACCGACATAAGGTATCTTTGCATTCAACGCAGTTCAAATGTAAGGGGAAAAAGGTGTAATAAACAGAGTAGAGCAATGAAAGGTTGTAAAACAAAGTTGGGCAGAGTAAGAAAGCAGCTTTAAGTTTAAAAAATGCAAGAAGTTCATTACATTAACACATTAAGATAGAGAAAAGATAGTTGGGTGCATCAGAATGAGAACACTTTTCAACCAGGAAGCCTAGGGCTGTTTATATGATCTCATTTGTTACTTGGTGAACGGAAACTTTTCCGTTGAAGAGTCCTGCTTTATACTTCAACCCAGGTTCTCCAGAAGGCAGAGCCTGAGATCCGGCAAGCACAGGCGAGCCTGAGGGCGGTAAGAAGAGAAGTGTTGCAGGAAAAAAAAGGAGGAAGCGGACGTAAGGTGGTATGTTACTGAGCTGGGTAGAACTTCACAAGGAAGCATGGCTGCTGGCTGGGTCACTTGGAACAACTCTAGATAAGCCACATGGAATCTTTGCACCTTGGCGCAGCTCGCTAGATGGAGGAAGAGACATTTATATGCCACTCCCTTACCATCTGCTGTATTCCACAGGTAAAGATTCAGTCTATGGGACATTAAAGGCTTTCCAGTCTGGTTGCATAATCTGTCTCCTTTGGACAGTCCCTCAGGGAGCAATATTCAGTGGAGACAGGACTCTCCTGGGTCTGATCTGATAAAACACAGGTGCCAGAGTCACTCTGGATCTTTCCATGGTAGATGACATCGGAGGCATGCTAATGCCTGGTCTTAATCTTCAGAGAGACTGACACAGCTGGTGATGTTAGGAAATCAAGGGACAATGGTGACAACGTATGGGGTGCTCCACTGAATAAGTGATCAAATGGTAAAGCCATGTGAGGGTTAAGCCAGTATAGAAAAGCACATAAAAATAAAATTGGGCTTAAACTATCAAAATAGAACATAGTATACATACGAGAAAGCTTAACCTCTATTTAAAGCTTCTATTTAAAACACAGTTTGAAAGCCTTCTGATGATACATTCAAGGAAGGAATTCCAACATGGGGAAACCTTGCTCTGAGCCTGTGAGTGATGGGGACTTGTGTCATTCATATTTTTTGTCCTACCACAGCTCTTAGTCCATGGGAAATGTTTGCGATAAGTCTGTTGACTGAGCACATGAAAGGCCTGCTGGCAGATTATTGTTTTTAGGTTTTCCCAGTATTTGACATAAACTCAGAGTATGAAGAACAATGCTGAGCTCTCCCTTAGTTAAAATGAATAAGCACAATAAATAAATGAGCCATCACTGAGTCCTCTACCCTTGTATGATCTAGGTCTGTAACTCCGGATTAGTCAAGTCTTCTTTAGGAATAGAGAAAGATTTGAAAATATATCTTCCTATGGAATTTCTTACCACCATGGTCAATTTTATGTGTCAAGTTGACTGGATCACAAGGTGGGTGGCTTCAATTTCACGACGTGGTTGGATGACACCATAAAACTGACGAAAGCTCAACTCGATGTCAGGCGTCATAGTATTTTTCAATCCACAATTCAAACTGCCTGTCCTTTAACCCATACAGGAATAAAACCTCCATCTATAAATCAGAGCCTTTTTTTTAAGTGCCTTTTTGTAAATGACAATGTGGTTAACATTGCAATCCGTGAGCCACTACTCCACTGAAGAGCAGCTGGTCATTCACTCTGATTTCCATTTGACATTAGAGTAAGTGGATGTTGTGCTCCAGAAGTGGGTGCTGAAGACTCAAGGAGGCTTCAGGTTATAGGCAAAGACTATGAAGGGCAGCACAGCAGCTACAGGAGTTACTGTAATCACAGAATCTGTTTGTATTTGATAAATAGCTAAATCCAGTCATTTCATTTCAGGTAACTACATTAGAAAAAAAATTAGGAATCATAAGCATGTCTTATTCCATCATAAGTCTATTTGCTCTCCCCGATAAAGGCGATTTGGTGTTCACTTCTAAATAACATCTTATTTAACCTTCAAAATTTGTTTTAAAGTTATCAAACATGGACAACATCTATTTTTGTTAATACTGTGAAGCTCAGTGTTCCCCTTATGTCAAAAATGGCCGCATGTTATGAGAAGTTTCTCCTAAATCCACATATATTAATTACATGCTTTTTCATTGTGAGCAGCCATGGTTATTCCCAACTGCACCTGGAAGGAGGGTATAAGAAATAAGCACAGTAGAACGCTTGTCCCCTTTTTGTTATTCCTGCCCTTATTTTTAGAAATTGAAAACCTTTCTGGGCATTTTCCCTTCCACCTCCCGCCCCTGGATCTGGAGGGCAGATGGGACCGAGCTAAGCTTCGCAAGCAGGTGGAATCCAGGAGGCCCCACGAAGCGCTCGGCAGTGGCGCTTCCTGGGGGCCACAGTAAGACTTCCCTGGTAATCAAGATTACTTTCGTATGGAATGCATGTCTCTATTCATTTTCTAACCACTCCTCAGAGATAATTCTTACAGAGCTAGACTAACTAAAATTAAAAGTTCAGTTGTGCCAGGCACATTTCAAGTGCTCAACAGCCACAGAGGTATGACATCAGACAGTGCAATTTACATCACAAAAATTTCTATTGAACAACATTGCTCCCAGGGTGTCTAACACAAGGACTGCATGTGGCCCAGGATGGCTATGAATGTGGCCCAACACAAAATCGTAAATTTACTTAAAACCTTTTTTTTTCCTCATCAGTTTTTGTCAGTGTTTGTGTATTTAATGTGTGGCCCAAGACAACTCTTCTGCCAGTGTGGACCAGAGACACCAAAAGGTTGGAGGCTGCTGCTAGACAAAGGAGAGAAATATAACTGAGAAGTAAAGTGACTTGTTTAATGCCATATTGCCAGTAAGTGGCAGAATCAAGACTTATACTCAGGTCTTGTGATTGTAAACCATGTTCTCATTTTTACTTTAATGCCTGGTGAGTATGGTTTCTTCTAAGAGAGTATCTCTGAAAAGGAGGACAAGGCTGGAATCTT